TTAAATGTAAAAAAAAAGAAAAAAATTAAAAAGACAAAATAGAAGGAGCTTTAAAGTATGTCTTGGGCTTATGAAATTCTGGAAAAGAAACTAAAAAGTTTGGATTCATGAGTGGCATTTTCATCTGCACTACTGGTCAAAGGCAGGGGCTTTAAAAGACAGGTAGATTTAGAATGCAAACAGCTGGTTAAGACAGTGGATTCTCAGAGTAGCATTTAGATTTCTGGGCCATAGTTTAAACTATTGGAATGTTGAGCTTCTGTCTGGGGACACAGTTCACCCAACAAGAAGAAGCAAAAAAAAATATTTTTCCTACTTCATAGTATTTTATTTTTTTCCAATAGTTGATAGTTTTCACCATTCACTTTTATAAGATTCAGAGTTCCAGATTTTTTTCTCCTTACCTTCCCTGCTCCCCAAGACAGCAAATAGTCTGATATAGGCTCCACATGTACAATAATTTTAAACATACTTCCACGTCAGTCATTTTGTGAAAGAAGAATCAGAACAAAAGGGAAAAGCCACAAGAAAGGAAAAAAGAACAAACAAAAAAAAAAGAGAGAAAATAGTATGCTTCAATCTGCATTCAGACTCCATAGTTCTTTCTCTGGGTGTGGATCGCATTTTCCATCATGAGTCTTTTGGAATTTTCTTAGATTATTGCATTACTGAGAAGAGCTAAATCTACCAAAGTTAATCATTGCACAATGTTGCTGTTACTGTATACAATGTTTTCCTGGTTCTGTTCATTTCACTCAGCATCGGTTCATGTAAGTCTTATAGGTTTTTCTGAAATCTGCCTGCTCATTATTTCTTATGGAATAATAGTATTCCATTATGTTCATATACCACAACTTCTTCATTCCCCAATTGATGGGCATCACCTCAATTTCCAATTGATGGGCATCCCCTCAATTTCCAATTCTTTGCCAACACAGAAAGAGCTGTTATAAATATTGTTGTATAAATGGGTCCTTTTCCCTTTTCTATGATCTCTTTGGGATACAGACCAAGTAGTGGTATTGGTGGACCAAAGAGTAGGTACAGTTTTTTTTAGCCCTTTGGGCATAGTTCCAAATTGCTCTCTAGAATGGTTGGATAAGTTCACAACTCCACCACCAAGGCATTAGTGTTCCAGTTTTCACACATCTTCTCCAACATTTATCATTTTCCATTTTCAGCAAAAAATATACTAATCTGAATTGCTATGAGTTAAGTCAAGGAGGTTTTAATTTGAAAATGGAGGCTAGAGGGAGAAAACTGCCCACATAGATAGATATGTAATCAGTTACCATGGAGAATAGAAGGCACAACAGAGGAAGAGGAATATAACAGATCCAATCATTTCCAGGAGAGTATATCAATGGTGAGAGGAAGCAAGGAAAACCTATAGGCCCAAGTGTCTCTGAATAAATGTACAAAGTACAGGTAATAAGCAAAATGAACTAGAAACCCCAGTGCAAAGAGAACACTTAGATTCCAGATTACCCCCTCATCTTCACCCAAATCTGGAAATATGTACCTTAGGTATGCTCAAGGACTGGTAGAGAGACATCATCACTTGCCCAGTCATGGCTCAACCTTTCATGGCTAAGTACTGTGGAGAATGAAGCTGCTCACACTGGGATGGAATTCAGTGGTCCCAACCCAACCCCTTGACCTTCTAGATCCTACCATGATCTCCCTTTCTTCAAAGGGGGGGGCACAGGCCCACTATTCACACACATTTAATGAGCAGAAATCATCACCAACTCCAATCCTTCTGGTAAAATGGAGGGACTTTGGACTTGACCATGCCCCCTGCCTTCCACTGTGCTCTCCAGATGCCTGGCCAATGTTATCTGCTTTGTCACTACATAGTAAGGCCTAATGGCCTTTGTGTCTGAACTCTCCTATATGGGCTCTATCCCATATTAGTATGCGAATTGCTTAAGGACAGAGACTGTCTCCCTTGTCTATTTGTGGGCCCAGCCCTTAGCATAGCCTCCATGACACCAAATCCCTGGAGGAAAATTGAGCATGTCAGTTAAATGACTGTGTGTGACCAAAATCAGGCTATTAGGAAACATCTGGATAACTTACTGGTTTTCAGCTTTCTTCTGGCTATTTGGTCACACACAGGCATGTCCTCAGTCTTGTTCTTTCTTCTGTCTAGACCTGAGCACCTGAACTCTTCCCTAGGAAAACAGTGACCTAAGTTGCTTCTGTGGCAAAGTTGTTGGGTAGAGACAATCCACACATACAGAAAAGGAAAGCTTCCAAATAAAGTCAAACAAAACTCTTCTTTAGACAACCACTCCCACCTCCCTTTCCCTAATCCCAGCATCCTGACAGATTGATTTTAAGCAGAACTTGGACCCCTCTGTTACAGACAATATGTTGCAATGAATAGAGAGCTGTGCTGGGCAGTAGGAAGATCTGGGTTCAAATCCATCTCAAAAAGTTACTGTGTGACCCTGAGCAGGCTACTTGACCTCCATGTACTGTCATTTTCTAGTCTATAAAATGGAAGTGATAATTCTTGTAGCATTTGTCTCCCAGGGTTAATTGAATGAATGTAAAGCACTTTGGCAAAGCTCCCAGTGTTTTCTGGACCTGTTCTGGAAGGTTATGTTGAGCTCCTCAATGACCTCTTCAGGAGGGCTGTATTGAGTGCTAACATACTGTGCTAAGTGCTAAGGATTCCAAGACCATGAATTAAGATCCACTTTCCAGGAGTTGATCTACTTCCAGAACAGAAGTTCTTAATCTGGGGTCTGGTGGTGCATGGAGAGATTTCAGGGGCTCCATGAACTTGAATGGAAAAATGTTATGATAAGTATTTCAGTACATTTGATTTCTTTTAATGTTTTTTTTTTTTTTTTGCATTTAAAAACAGCATTCCCAGAAGGGAATCCATAAACTTCAACAGTAGACTGCAACGGGGGTGGGGTGTGGGGGGGAATGATTCCCCCTGTAAAGGTTTAAACCATCTGATTGAGGGGGCATGCCATATTTACAAAAGTGTGTGTGTGTGTGTGTGTGTGTGTGTGTGTGTGTGTGTGTGTGTGTTCAGAAAAGACTTCCAGAAGGAGGTAGCATCCAAGGTCAATCTCGAAGGAAGCAAGCTTCCAAGAGGTGGAGGCAGAGGAGGGCATTCCTAGTATGAAGGATAATTTGTGCAATGACACCCAGGAATAGGTGGGGTAGGGGTGGGGATGCAGAGTTCTGGCGATAGAAAGTGGTCAGTTGTTCTGGAACTTTGAGTAAAGAGGAATCACGAACATGAAGAAAGGCTAGAGATGCCATCTGGAATTCAGTTGTGTAGGGCTCTGAATTCCAAGCTGAGCCTGTAGTTGACCCTAGTAGCAATAGAGATTTAATGAAAAAGCTTCCTGTGCTCCAACCTAGACTTTAGGGAGACTATTTTGGTAGCTTTGGGAAGGATGGATCACAGAGAATAGAATCTTCTGGATCCCATCTCCCCACGATCCTCTGTCCACCTCCCAAGCTCTTAGGCAAGTGATTTTTCATCTTTGTATGCCCAGCACCTTGATCCATTCTTCAAGCTCAGAAGGATTTAATGAATCTGCTGAATGAATGAGTACTGCAGAACACAGATCCCTTAACCAAACAGAAGATGATGCTAACCACTGTTTACCAATCATCTCATTAGCTTATCCAAATCTCCCATGATCACTTTCATGGAAGGCATTAAATAAGAGCTGACTTTATTTGACAATTCTCTCATTTTTCCCTGACCACAACCCTGTGGGTTATTACAGGGATTGCATTCCCATTTTATAAACAAGGAAACTGAGGCACAGAAGGTTAAGTGTCATGCCCATGGTAACATAGCTAGTAAGTGGCTGAGGTGAGACTCTAACTCAAGCTTCCAGACTCTAAGCCCAGGGTTCTTGAGTTCGAATCCTGCTATCCAGAAAATGACTAGATTTATATTGAAACAACTGCATAAAAGAGACCTCATTTTTTAAAACATAAGAAAGAAAACTGTTCCTTATTTTGATCCTTTCATGGGTGAGTATATAATCCTACTAAGCTAACTTCTGAGTGTGTGTGTGTGTGAGTGTGTGTGTGTGTGTGTGTGTTTAAAGTCTGAAGTTCCTGTTTTTTCTTAATATACATACTCCGGAATTCTTCAAAGTGTGCTTTGTGTTCTAAGATGGGGGCTAGTTAATCTCTCCCATTTGAAGTTGACCTCCCTTAACTCCTCTTCATTATTGAAAGCAACTGAGTTGAATTATGTGTTCTCTTTTGACGTGTTTACAAAGCCTTCCTCCACATTGAGCTGCCTCCAAATAATCCCTCCGAATTAGAACATGCCATGCAGTGTTTTCATCACACAGCTGCTCAAACATCCAGCTGGCCATGGATGATCCCTCCTGATGAGGGGTCTTCTCCCTTTTTAATAAAAGAATAGAAACTGAGAGATCAAAGGCATGGGAATGGTTTGTGAATTCTGGTTAAATGTCTGCGAGATGGCCCTTGGGCATCTCAAACTCTATTTACATTTCACAAGCCAAGAGCTTCCAGGAGGATTTGGGGGCTTGTGACTCTCCATTGAAGCAGGTGGGAGAGTTAGAAGGAATGCTAGAGGCTCCCTCCACCTTGTCTATCTGAAACAAAGTCTGTTGGCCAGACAGCTGGACCAGGTGAGGGCTGGGGTCTCCAGGTGATCCACTGGAAGCTTGCCAAGCCCACTCCCTCCACATTTCAGATGGAGGAATAGACCAGGACAAGATGGCAAAGACAGTGAACAGGGGCCATCTTTCTTGATGCTTGGGGTCTTCTTCTTGGAATGTCTGGAAAGTTATATACCTCCAAACACTCTTAAACTCAGAAGCTGGTGTGAAGGTTATGAGGGGTAGTTTGGAGCCTTTGGGTGGGGATATTTCATGTATAAATTCAACAAATGAATGTCAACCCACCCACCCCAATGACTTTGCTCAAGACTTGGTGGACACATTCTGACCCTACTGTGCATTTGTTTTCCTTGCCAGACAGATGTTTTACATCAGAGTGTCTTTGAGTTGATCCACACAGAAGACCAACCAGAATTCAGGCGCAATCTTCACTGGAGGCTAACATCAACTCCCAAACCTGAAAGTGATCAGGCATGCTCTGGTAGGTGCAAGGGCAGCTGCACTAACTTGGGGAACATTTTCTTTGGAGGTCATTTGTCTTATTGGGTTGGGATATGTGAGGCTCTAGAATACCATTCCCTCACAGACGATTACATCTAAAGCTGGAAGGGAATTTGGGGTCATTTTGTCCTGCCCCCTCATTTTATACATGCCTTCCCTCTGATACTACCTTCAATCTACCCTGTCTATATCTTCCCCATTAGACTACGAGGTCTTTGAGGGAAGACACTTGTCTTTTGCCTTTCGTTGTTTTCCCAATGTTTATCACAGGGCTTGGTACACAGTAGGTGCTTAATAAATGTTTATTGACTGACATAGACACTGCCTGTTTCTGTCATTGGTTGAACGTCTGTTTCTTAAAGGGCCAATGAAAAGAGAAACCCAGTCAATGTAGGTGTAGAGGATCTGATTTTTCTAAGGATTTATAAAGTTTGCCAAGCACTTTGTCTACATTCTCTTACTTTTTCCCCCAAACACCTCAGTGAGTAAAGCATTAAAACTGATTATCTCTGCTTCCTTCAATTTCCCACTGGATCCCTGACTTCCTTAATGGTGGCAGGCCCTCCAGGGAGGGCTGATCCCAGATCAGCATTGCGGGGGAGGCATTGGTGCATTGGGGAGAGCTCTGGATTTGGGCTCTGGTTCATCTCTAAGCTCTGCCAATTACTACCTGTGAGATGGTGAGCAAGTCATTTCACTTCCATGGGCCTCAGTTTCTTTATCAGTAACAAAATAAAGAAGTTGGACTAGATAACTTCTGATATCCTGACAGCTCCAAATCTATGGTCTTGTCATACAGTGAACCTATGCATGCCTTTCCATTCTGTTATGTCTTATCCCCATGTTCCCTCAAATACTCTGTAGAGGAGCCAACCCATCTACAGATGGGAAAACTGGGGCTTAGAAAGTAGAAGTAACCTGCCCAAGCATTACTTCTCTGTTTAATATCAGAATCATGGCTAGAGTGGCCACCTGAGTCCAGGGCCTAAGCTCTACTCCAGAAGGATGTAACTACCATTCTTAGGGAACATTCAGCAGCACTGTGGTCCTATAGGTTTTATGCCCACTTAGCTGAAATGATGATCTGCTGGTGAAATAAATGATACTGCCCAGTCCAACAAGCATCTGCTAAGTGCCTACTGTGTTCATCTCATTGTGCTAGACCTTGAGGATGCAGAGATAAAATGAAGTCTGTCTCTGCCCTTCAGAACCTTACAATCTCCTGCATTAGAAACATAACATGTCAAAAGATAAGTATTCTACGTGATAATTTGGGGAAGGGAGAGAACCAATGACTAGTGGCATCAGGGAAGGCTTTCTGGGGGAGGAGGCACAAGAACTAAGCCTTCATGGTGGCTTGGTGATGGTGGAGGTAAGGGGAGAAAATCTTCATGGCACAGGGGAATGGGGGGTACAAAGGCATGGAGGTAGGGGATCAAACAGCAAGGTTAGAGACCATAAAATGGGGCAGTTTGTCTTGAATGTAGAGTGTGTATACATCCAGGTTATCTTTAATAAGCCTGCAAAAGTAGGTTAGAGCAAGTTTGTGGAAACTTTATTATGCCAAGCCGGGGCATTTGTATTTTCTCCTAAGAAGCAACAGGAAGCCATTGAAGGCTCTTGAGCAGGAGAATGACATGATCAGCCTCAGGCATTAGAAGAATTACTTTGGCATCTGTGAATAGGACATATTTGGAAAGGGAGAAACTGGAAGCATAGAATGTGTACCTTGTGCTATGTTTGTCTGTTAAAAACGCACTCAACATTTTCTACTTACCAGCCTTGGACACATGGATGACTGTGACTCAGAGAATGTTAGTGCTGAAAGGACCCCAGAGACCATTTCATCCAACAACTCTCTTACCAGTGCTGAGTCATGGAGCTGAGCCTGTCTGGGGCTTATTGAGGAAGTGTCAAGGTGTGCGTGCGTGTGTGTGTGTGTGTGTGTATGTGTGTGTGTATGGGGGGCACAGAATCCACAATTTCACAATTTTCACCCCTAGTCTTTGTCCAAAGGATAATAAGGTGTCAGATTCAAAGCAGACCCAAGTCCTCTGAGCTTTGGCATTTCAATGACATCGTTTAGTCTCCCAAGGAAAAAAAAATCACACTGGAAATACTATGGGCTAATATAGGAATGGTGGGTATATCGAGTGTGGTAGTAACCCCTGAGCCAGGACCTGGAGCCTCCTGGGCAAATCATGCCCTGTTGCCTGTTTCCTTTTAGGTCCTATCTGTCCTGTGCTAAAAGAACTGGCTCAAAGTTGAAAAAGGAAAAAAAAAAGGCCAAGAGCTGTTGGGTATCTTCAGTGCCAGAAAGCCAATGCCCCAGATTTTTGGTTTCTAACTAGTACGGCCTGCCTGTTATTTTGGTGTTGTATAAGCACAGTCTGGGCTCACATTCCCAGGCTGGTTCCAATTACTTACTTGCTTGAGAGCTGCCCAGTGGATTTGGTCTTTCATGTGTAAATAAACAGTGCGCTATTTGTATGTGTCTATGCTGCTGTGTTGTGTATGTGGTGGGGGCTGCTTAAGTCCCTCCAGGATCAATCTTGTGCGCATCTGCTTTCCACTGAAGCAGATGAGCAGATCCTAGGTCTAGAGATAAAAGTGGCCTTCTAGTCCAGTTCCTACCTGAACAAGCATTTTCTCCCAAATCCTAAATCAATAATCATTTATTAACTGCATATTGTGTGCTAGGCTTGGTGCTAAATTCTTGGGATATAAATGCAAACAAAAAGACAGTACCTGCCCTCAAGGAGATTGCATGCTCAAACCATAACAATAAGAGGTCATCTGAGTTTTTCTTAAAGACCTACAAGGAGGGGAGAGCTGCTCCCTCCCCAGACAATCCAGGCCACTTCTGGACAGGTGAGATCATTAGGAACATACCTTCCCTTTTCCCTCCCCCTCCCTCCTGGTTTGGCTCTTTGAGTCCCAGAAGAAGCCTAGCTCCCTCTTCTTCATACCAGCTAACATGTCCCCTCTGATTCTGCTCTTCACTAGGCTAAACATCCCCTTTCCTTCAACCAGTGCTCATGTGTCAAAGACTTAATCACCTGCCTTTGGGTGGAGGGTGGATAAATTGGATTCTCTCCAATTTATCAATGTCCTTCCTAAACCATGGTGCCCAGAACCAAACACAATTCTCTGGAGCACAGTAGAGCACAGTAGGGCTATCATCTCCTTATTCCTAGAAGCTACATTTCTCCTGCCCTAATGCAGCCCAAGATCATTGGAAATTTGGGCTTTTCTTCTATTTCTTAATTTAGTTTTTATATCACACTGTGACTGATATATTGAGTCTGCATTCCATCAAAGCCCCAATTTTTTCTTTAAAAAAGCACATGATTTATTTTTACATAATCTGTCTCTTCTTCTTATCCCCTGATTGAACAATAAAAAGGCGGGTGGAATCTTCACCATAAACATATATACTCCAGAAAAGCAAATTCGACATTAACCAAAATGTAGATCCTGGGGCAGCTAGGTGGAGCAGTGGAAAGAGCACTGGCCCTAGAATCAGGAGGACCTATGTTCAAATCTGGCCTCAGACACTTACCAGCTGGGTGACCCTGGGCAAGTCACTTAACCCCAACTGCCTCACCAAAAACAAAACAAAGCAAAACAAAAGGTAGATCCCTCCCTGCACTTTACATTCCTCACCTTTCCATCAGGTTTGGAGGGTTTCATCTTCATCTCTCTGGCAGCTTGGTTGGTCATTGCGTTGATTAGAGTCTAAAGTCTTTCCAAGTCGTTTTTTATCACTTTATGTTTGGGGGAGGAGCCTTGGGCTTCTGAGCCGCTGGGCTGGGTTGTCCTCATTATAAAAATGAGAAGGTTGAATTCAATTGCCACGTAGACTCTTTGGTCATTCCTATCCTCGTGTTGCCATTCAGGAGGAACACAGTCCAGCTCACCTGGTAGCAGCGACAAGCCAGAGGAGCTCCCCCCGGAGAACTCAGCCCTCCTAGAACGGAGTTTTGTCTGCCGGTTCCGATGCCTGCTCGATAACTCATCGGGGTTCCGGGTAAGTCACAGACCTGATGGGATCGGTGATCTGGACAGCTCAATCAAGAATGTGTTTAATCCCAAAGCTTGATGCAAACGGAACAGAAGAGAAGAGAGTCCTGGAGAGCAGAGCACAGGTGTTCATGTCCCACTCTTGCTAGCTTGGCTCAGTAGCCGCATCCCCACTTCCCCTAGGACAACATTTCTCTTTGGTCCCCGAATTATATGGAATGATCTCCTTTCTCATAACCACATGACAGGACCAAAGGATTTAGAACTGGAAGAGACCTAAGACATTTCATCGTATCTCCTAATTTTATAGAGGGGAGGCCCAGATAGGGAAGGGACAGAAAGGTCATAGGAGCAGAAAGGACCTTCGAGGACATAATGACACTTATCTAGTGCTTTAAGGCTGGAAAAGCACTTTACATGCTCCCTCATCTGATCCTAGCAACAACTCTGGGAGGTAGAGGCTATTATTATCCCCATTATACAGATGAAGAAGCTGAGACCGAAAAAGTTTAGGTGACCTACCTGGAGTCACATAGCTAGTAAGTGTCTGAGGTAGGATTTAAATTCAAGTCTTCCTGCCTTCAAGTCACACATACTATGCACTGAACCATCTCACAGCCTCATTGGAAAGATGAGGAAATCGAGACTCAGGGGTGTTTCTGGCTACCCTTGGAGTTTGTGGTCTGTTTACTGCCTACTGTCCAAGCTTAATGCTTCTGCCCTGAACTACCACCTAGGGAGGGGATAGGAAAATCCAGGGGAGGGGTCAGCTCTGCCCCTTATTCCACAGGAAGGATGGAGCTGAGGGTATTGAGGTTTGGTCAGACACCTGTGCCCTCCCCAGAGACACCCATGCTCACTGCTGGCACGTGAACCAAAGACCTCAACCCACTCATTAGAATAAGAAGAAACATTAACCTTTCAGTGATTCATTCAAATGTGATCATTTCAGGAGCAGATCCCAATTATTATATCATATCATATTGTATTTAATCACATGATGTGATGTGATGCCATGTTATGTTATATTATGTAATAGATCACATATAAAATTATAGAATAACAGTTCAGTATGTTATAGTATACAATGTTCTATGTGACATATGATCTATAAATTTGGATATATATATTTGGGTGTGTGTATGTCTGTAAACACACCCCCATTTAAGCCTTATCTCTTTCTTTAAAGGCTTTAAACCTTCAAGGCAGGTTGAAACCACTGCACGGGCAGAAGCACAGAATGGAGGATGGTTCTCCAGCGCCCCCTCAGCTGGCACTCTTTGCCATCTCTACTCCTCTGCAGCCTCCATCCATTCTGGAGATCAGAACAAAAACACTCACCTTCCGGACCAAACACAAGCTGGATTTTACGCCTGTTGCCTGTGATGCCAAGTAAGCACGAGGGCAGGGCTGGTAGGAGCAAGCCCTAATGGCCACTGTCCTCCCCTGCATTCGTCCTCCTCCAATGCCTCATTGCGGTGGGCAGGTGACCCTGTGTGTCTGAGGGCCAACTTGGCAGAGGTTGAGCTCTGGCTGGTCTGGCCAAGCTGGAAGGGAAAGGATTAATGGGCCTAAGGATAGGTGATGGAAGGAGAGATGTGTCGGGTTCCCTCTCTCTATCCCATCTGTAAAATGGGAATGATAAGTTCTATCCTTTGAAAGAGGAAAGCGCTTTCATTGTGAGCCATAACTAGAGAAATGGGAGTGATGATGGCTTGTGCTGTGAGCTCCACTGTCCTTTTTCTTTCCTAGAGGGAAGCTTGTGCTCGGATACACAGAGGCAGAACTGCGCATGCGTGGGACCGGCTATCAGTTTATCCATGCTGCCGATATGCTCTACTGCGCTGAGAACCACATTCGGAGTAAGAGTGGAGGCCCCTTCTCCTGCCCCTGCCCCACTGCCCCTGGACACTGTGTAGCTAAAAGCAACATAACTATATTGGTTTATCATGCTCGAAAGGTGAACAAGTCCTTATAGATTCAGAGATGGTCTTCCTCTGACCATCACCAGATTACTACCATGCATGCTTTATGGGCCAACTGGTGGGTGGGCAGTAGCTTGGAGAGTGGCCCCTCACTTGACTCTGGCATTGCCTATGCCTCTGGTAAACACTGAGCCTGAACCCATTGGTAGCTAGTCACTCCCTTCCTAGAGAGGCATGAGTTTACAGTGACCTTCGGGAGAATATCAATGACATTGGCACAGGATGGGCAGGCACGGGTGGCCTGTAGTTTATAGTTTTTTATCAGTGGAAGGAACTCACAAATGGTGAAATCACAAGTCCACTGGGGGATTGGAATATTGTCACAAAATTGCAGAGCCTCGGAGCTGAAAGGGACCCAGGGGCGTCTCATCTAGAGACAAGAATCTCATTCTCAGCTTCACCTAGAGCTGAACTACCATGTTCCTGACGCATGGGCATCCAGCCTCTTCTTGGAGGCCTTCTCTGTGAGAGGCAATTTACCCTTTAATGAAGCAGCCCCTTCCACACTGGGAGGGTTCTAAGTGTGGAGAAATTCTTCTTGATATTGAATCAAAATCTTCAGATTCCATCTGTTGTTCCTGGGTCTGTTTGTCCAATCATCCATTTCTAGAACAGCCCATTCCATCAGAGTAGAAGGCAAATAGATTCTGCTGGACAAACATTTTGATTTCCTTTCATCAGTGGCTGTGTAACTTCTGGGGCAAGTAGGACCTGGTGTTCTGGGCTCGCTTCTCTCCTTTCCTTCTACAATCTCTCATTCAGTGACCCATTCTTAGCTCAGGCCTCAATTGTCTCCCAATGTATATGACTCCCAAGTCTGCATATTCATTCCTCACCTCTTCAGTCTTGTACCACTAATGCCTCTTGGACATTACAAACTGAATGTCCCAAAGACATGTCCACCATGTCCAAGACAGAATGTATTGTCTCCCCCCACTCAGACCCTCTCACCCACCAAACCTCCCCATTACTGTAGAAGGCACCACCATCCTCCCTAGCACAACAAAGTCAATGTCATCCTCATTCTCCCTCACCCCACGTAGCTGGTCCATTGCCGAAGTACGTCATTTCCACCTTCACAACATCTCTTGTGCACATACTCTTCTCTCTACTCCTCCAGCCACCACTATAGGTCAGGGGAAGGACTGGAGACAGCAGGAACCTGAGGCAGGAACACCAAAGTGATTTTCCAAAATCCAGGTCTGACCATGATAAATTCCAATGGCTCCTTATCATATACATAGCCCTTTGCTTGGTGTTTAAAGACCTTTGTGACCTGGCCCCTGATCCAGCCAGACTGGCCCACTCACTGTTCCTCACTGGAGCCCGCTCGCTCTTCCTCACTCGGGATGCTTCATCTCCCTCTTTGCCTTGGCAGGAGTCATTCCCTCTGAGTGGAATGCTCTCTCTCTCCTCCCTTCCATCTCCTAGAAGCCTGCTGGCTTCCTTTAAGGTTCAGCTCCATCCCACCTGCTGTAGGAGATCTTTCCCTCAGGTTACCTCTTGTGTTTGAACACAAGAGGGACAAGAGGTTGGTACTACAGGCATCATTGTTATCCCATTTGGGAAACAGAGAGGTTGAGTCATTTATAAATAATCACACAGCTAGAGAGTCATCAGCGGTAGGGCACAACCTGAGTTCTCTCCAGGCAACTGATTTCTGGGTCTGAGTTAAAATGCAGAATGAAGCTCCAAACTGGAGTATCCTGAGAGCAGGAATCTGGGCTATTTCTAATTGAAAGAAGGATCAAAGCCCAGTGAGTCATGGGAGCCATGTAACTATTTCATCTGAGTCCCTTTTCTCCATTCAGAAGAGATGTCTGCCCCAATGGCAGCATACTGAGAGTTGCTGGGGGTAGGGCACGGTCCACGTCAACTCTCTTCTTAGACTGAATGAGCTTCTGGAGGGTAAAATGAGGGGGGGAGGGACTATTACTTCTTACAGACTCCTACTGTATGCAAGTGAACGCCATTGTTTGGGCATACAGTGACCAACTTTAGAGCATGGAGCTTTAGTAGCAAGTTTCCTTGGAAAAGAAACTGGAGGTTAAACTTATTTGGCTCATCCATGTAACCAGCAGTCATGGAGACCGGAGAATCACAGAGCTTCAAGGGGACCTACAGATGGTCTATTTTACAGAGGAAGAAACTGAGGCCCAGATGGAGGTCACACATGCCATGAGCAGGCAAGCCTGGATCGAACCCTCATCCTCTGACTCCAAGTTAAGCATTTGTTTCACTATTCCACTGCGCCTCCTGTGCAGCATTCTGGGACTGGCATGAACTTGGGCAAGTTTTACCTCTTTCCGGGCCTCAGTCTTCTCCTCTGTAGAATGGGGCTGAGTTGAGGTCTCTTCCAGCTGTGGATCCCAGATGCTGTGATTGCTTGTTCCTTTTCATAACTGCAGATAGGGATGGACACGACGTCCCAGGCAGTTCTGAATATTCTGCTGCTGCTCAGTAAGTGCAGGAGAAGGAGGGAATAGGCATATACTTCCCAATGTGCTGCTGGGGTCAATGGTTCATCTGTACCTGGAGGTACATTGAGGGAGTAAGCCTCTGGTTTGAAAGCCATACCTTCAGATCCTCAGCAGTAAACCAGTTGTGGGCAAGTTGGACAAGTTGCTACCTCTGTGGGCCTTAGCTTCCTCATCTATAAAATGGAAATAATAATACTTGCTCAACATACTTAAGAAAGTGCTTGTCAGTGTGAGCTGAGCTGATGTCAGATGGAAAGCAGAAGGAGGAAATGCAGATGTTTGCCTAGAGAAGAGAAGATTCGGGGTTCAGCAGGACAGTAGGCTTCCAAGGGCTGTTGCCTGGAAGGTGGAATAGCATGTTCTGCTTGGTCCCCAGAGACAGAACCAGGAGCAGTCAGTGCAAACTGTAAGGAGGCAAGCTTAGGTTTGGGAACTGACAAACCAAACTAAGCCTCCCTCCCACCGAGGCACCTGGGGGAGACACCGGTGGACACAAGGACAACAGTGAACTGTCCCTGCTCTCGGGGAGCTTCCATTCTACTAAGGGAGAGTCACTGGTAACTTTCCCAGCTATAAAATGGAGTTAGTATCATGTGTTTTTTTTCAATTAAAAAACAAAAACAAAATCATTCAAAAGTGTTTATTAAGAGCAATTCATTTCAAGTCAACAGACATTCATCCAGCCCCTATTCTGTCTGCCTCCTAAGGGGCAGGCATAACACAAAGAGAAAAAATAAATCACTTGCATAAAGGCTTTGGTGAAGCAAGGAGAACACATATTTTGAAATCAGAGGACTTGGGTTTAAATTATGTCTTTGCCACTTGCTCCCTGTGTGGTTTTGGGCAAATCTCTTAACCTTTCTGGCCTCGGTGTCCTCATATGGAAAAGGAATGGGTTTGACTCTCTGATCCCCAAGGTCCCTTACAGCTCCAGATGGGGGAACCTTGAAAATAGAATAAACAGTGTTATTAAAGGCTCCAGGGCAATGTGGTAGACCGCCTCTTGAAGTTATGGTAACCCAGGTTCAAATTCTGATTGTGACACTTAGTTGTCCAACCATGAGCCAATAACTGACCATCTCCAAGACTGAGTTTGCTCATCTGTCAAAAGACAATAGTGATACCTGTGGTGCTTCTTTCACAGGGCTGTCAACAGAATCAGATCCGATAAGGTCTGGAAAATGCTTTGCAAACTTGAAGTTGCTAAAGACATATCAGATAGTCTTATTAATCCTAACTCATTCACGTGTTTCCTAGTGATGAGAACTGGGGAAAGTGGCCTGACAGTATTTCGTCTTCTGACCAAAGAAAATCGTTGGCGATGGGTCCAGTCTAATGCCAGACTCGTCTACAGAAACGGCAAACCTGATTACATCATTGCCACTCAAAGGCCTCTTGTGTGAGTACCAAGCTTCCCCTGAAGGTGGCATTTTCTTCTCAGATGCCCAGGTGGCTAAGAGGTGAAGGTGAGCCAAGATTTACCATCCATTAGCCAATCAACACTGCCAAGCGCCATGAGAAAAATCCATTCTCTTGATGCAGACTAGGAGCTCTAATTAGGGGAAACTGTAATTTTATTGTATTTTTAAAATGTTGATATTTCCTTCTGTGCAGGGATGAAGAAGGAGGGGAGCACCTTCAGAAAAGGTCCCTACACCATCCTTTTACCTTTGCTACAGGGGAAGCACTTCTTTACCAAGCCACCCACCCAGATCCTGGTTTTCCTGCCCCCTTCTCAACTCAAGGAAAAATGACCAAATTCAAAAAGCCTCCCAAAGGAGAAAGGAGCCAGTTCAATCTCCCAGCTCCTAATTCACTTCTTGGTGCCATGATGAGACAGAATGCGGCCATCTATGTGTCCCATGCAGCAGTGACTCCAGACTTGGGCTGCAGCAGTGACACCTTCAGCCAGATTGAAGACCCCTTTGTGACTCAGGTAGCAGGAGACATCCTGACTGGATCCTCAAAGATAATTTCCTCTGAGGATGAGCTAAAGGAACTGGCTGATTTGAATCAAGGAGCCACCCTTCTAACCACCCTGGATCCCCTCTCTCTGGACTACGATGAGAATTGCTCCAATAATGAGCTCTTGAGTGCTCTGGAAAACCTGGGTCTTAACGCTGAGGAGCTGGAGCTCCTGCTGCTAGATGAATGGAAGGTGAAGGGAGGGGAGAGTCCAGGCTCTGGTTCATCTCTTAATGATGTGTTAACAAACAGGGAGAGCTTGTCCCACGTTCATGGTTCCCTTATGAACAAAAACGAGGATGAGCAAGTTGGGGATCACCAGGCTTCCTTGAAAATTCACTCTTTGTTGAGCTCAAGCCAAGAACCTGAAGTCAATAGTTTTCATATGGCACACCAATATCCACTTCATTTATTGCAGGAACCACAACCCAACCAGCTAGTCCAAACAGTGTGCCTTCCAAATACAATGCAACATCATGGTGTAAGCCAGAAGCAGCCAGGTCACTTTCCTTGGGAGCCTGGTTCACCCCAGGCTGTGACAAATGAGAGGCATATCCAGAACAGTTGTGAGCCATGGAGGCAGCTGTCAGTAACATCTCAGGATCTGTCTACTCATTTCATGCAATCGCCTGCAGAGGTCCAGCAACGGTGGCCACCATCCAACAGTTCAGGCCTTCTGAGCCCATCCTTACCCCACCTATCCTTAGAAAATCCTTGCCAACCTAAACTAAGTCAGCAGCAGCTGGAGAATCATTTGAGATCACAGCAGGAAGGTCCCCAACCCCTATTTCAGCATCAGGGTCTAAACCAGCTTCATGTTCAACCACAGCAGCTCTGTGGCTATGGACCCTCAGAATCAGGGACCCTCCTACAACCTAACACTGACCAGAGCTTATTTATGAACAGGATCCACAGCTGGGATTCACCTAGTCAACAAATTCTAGGTGGCAATTTATGGCCAGACTATGCCTCTGGGATTCAGCACCCAACTCAAAGAAAACTTCCGAGCCAGGCAGGGAACGGTTCTGGACCACAGCTCTACTCAAGAAATGATCAGCAAGATTCCAGCAAGTCCCAGGTCCAGGTCAACCAGGATAGATTAGACAATTTGGAGACTGACAAAAGTTATGGGACTGGAGCTGAGATGGTGCCTGGGCAAAGATTCCTGCCCCCTTGCACATGTCAACCCATCCCCTTAAAACCTTCTGCATCAGTTTCTTCTGAGACCATGCTTCCATTTCAGAATTTTACTTCTGGCCATTTTATTAATGGAGATGGGTGCCAGGAGACATCGGTGAGTTCTATGTAGATCTGCGCGTGGCAGTTAACCCAGGATGCCACCCAGAAAGCAGAATTCTCATTGACCATTTTCAGTTTAGCTGAAAATATGGTGTGTCCACAAAGCATGTTTGTACAGGTGGACTGTCTTTTCCAAATGTGTTTGTAGCTAATTATAAGCATAGGTACAATAATGTATCATCTCATATATTACACAGCATATGTTGTGCTATGTATTATAACTATCTAGATCATGGAGAATGGCCACAGTGCTAGTGATACTAGGGAAAAGCTCATTTTGGAAGCTGAGGCATCAGTTTTCAAGATACCCCAAACAGGGTGAGATTTGAAAGGATTAAGTCCCATTTTGGGGGATCTAGACTTAGGAGTTCATTGGTGTTGGAAACTCCAGGTGAGAAAAATCCCTAAACCAATGCAGATCAGCGACTGCTCTGCCAATTGTTATATTAATATGTTTTTCCTTAATGTACTTGGAGGTTGAGTAACTTCTCCAGGGTCATGCAGCCACAATGTGGCAGAAGTGGGACTTAAACTCAGGTCTTCCCGACTCCATTACCAGCCCAGAGAGCCATGCTCACGCTGCCTTTCATGTACTGTTTTAGGAAGTGTATTGATCATCTGGACTGTGTCCAAAGGAGGCACCCAGGATGGTGAAGGGCCTTGAATTCATTCTGTAAGAGGATTCATTATGGAACTGAGGATGCCTAGCCTAGGGAAGAGATGACTTATGGGGGATGTAATAACTGACCTCAAGTACTTGAGTGACCTTCATGTGGAAGAGAGGTCAGATTTGTTCTCCTTGAGAGCAGAAGGCAGAACCAAAAGCAATAGGTGGCAGTTGTGAAAAAGGTAAATTGAGGCTTCATATCAGGGCAAACTTCCTAATGATGAAAAGCATCCCCAGGTGAACTCAGTTACATGGAGAGCTAGTGTACCGACCTTCACTGGGGGGCTTCAGGAGAAGGCTGTTAGTGGCCCCTCGTTGGGGATGCTGCAGAGGGATATGGACCTTTGAGTTTCCTTTCAGCTCTGAGGCCATGGGATGCCATGATCACTGCCACTGAATGACTTTATGATGGAAAGGTGTTGAGTCTCTCTGTATAAATGAGCATTGAATGTCAATCTGCAGAATTCTCATAACTCTGAAACATGGGCTAGTTCCCTTCAGAATGCTGGCACCGTGAAAGGCCCAAAGGGCTATTCTTGCCTCCAAAGCTGAATAGCTCCTGTTTGCACTTCATGAACAAAGGACCCACTATCCACAACAAGTAGATCATTAAATACAACTATATAATGTGACCTCTGAGTGGGCATCCAGCGTTGGCCAAAAGCCCTCCAGTGAAGAGGAGAACACAGCCTCCCGAAGCAGCCCATCCTACTTGGGGACAGCTCGTATTGCTCTGAACTTTGAACTTCAAGTACAAATCTTCCTCCCTATACCTTCCCCCCACCCCAGCTTCTAGTTCTGTCCTGTGATGCCAATCAGAACCAGGCTAAGCCTTCTACCTTAGGCCAGTCCCTCAAATACTTGAAGACTCTGCTTATCCTCCTCCCTACCAAGTCTTCTCTTGTCCAGGCTCAACACGCCCATGACCTCTAGCCAGTCCTTGATGACATGAACTCAAGAGCCTTCATCATGCTGGGCATCCTCCTCTGGAGGCTCTCTAGCTGATCAGAGTCCTCTTTCCACCGTGTCACCCAGAATGGGATGCCACATTGTATGTGGCATTTGACCAGGGCAGAAGGTGGTAGTGATATTGCCTCTTGATTACTGGAATTATCACAGACCCTCTTAACGTAGCTAAAACACTCCTCTTGTCTGTCATGTCACACTGTTGATTCTTATGGAAACTACTGTCCCCCAGTCTAGAGAAATCAGTGTAATATCACAAACACTAGGGCTCTGGGTCCTGACAGGATGTCTGGAAGGAGGTGGTCAGCCCACATTTACTCACCAATCATTTGTAGCTATGATGGGCAAGCCCTTGTACTGAATCTATGCTACATAACAATTATAGGGCAAAAGGGAAATTTTACTCAAAGAACTACAGCAGCTCTAGTAAGAAAATGGAATTGTGCAGGTGGAATGGAGTCAAGTCATGGGGTTAGTACCCTTTGTCCAATTAGCCTGGCAAAGTCCTCATGGAGAATATTCCTGCATTCAATATTTTAATCCTTCACTTCCTGTGATATATGGGATTCTATCAAAGAGGTTTTTCTCTTCAAAACAACAGATAGCAACCCTTGTAGAACTCAGGAAATTATCTTAGAATTTCAATGTGTCCTTTCCTACCATACTTCATGTCTTGAACATAACTAAATAGTCTCTTCATTTTCCTTTTTCCCAGGCAGGAAATATGTGTGGATTGACTGATAGACCCGTGGAATCCTGGGGAGACTTCCTCCTGCCCAGTGGACAGCCCACTGCCATCACAGAGAGACACTCCTGCCCCAAAGTGTTTCCTCAATCATCACCGTCCCCCAGTGGTGGCTTTTATTTTTGAGTCAAAGATTCAAATTGACAAAACATGAGCTATTCAAAGCCACATGGTGGAATAAGCCAATATTTAAGTTAAGGAAAAACCAGAGGTATGCCTTTCTCTTTCTGCTCATCTCTTTTCCCTTCATGCCTTCACCATCAGCCATGGAGCTCTCATGGAATCACTTGAGAAATGTGTAGGCTAGGAAGTGAAAATGAATCAAAGCTGTCTGAAAGGATTCTATCTTCACACATTCCATCTACCACCTGCTAGAGTGGGGATGAGTTGTGAATGAGACACATTCATAGACTGACCTACCTCTGTTCTTGTTCATCAACCCTGGCACTGGGCTCAGATGGTTGGTTAGAGTTTCTTTAAAAAAAAAAACAACTTTACATTCAAGGACACAAAACTCAAAGGTCCTTTCTATTTCACATTTCCATATTTCTAGGTAAAGAATATGGGATTTAGAGCAAGAAGGGACCTTAAAAGTCTCCTGACCAACCCCATCACTTCATAGGTAGAGAAACTGAGGCTCAGAAAGGCCATATTCATCAATTTAGAGTTGTGATGACTTGTTAGATATCACACAATCAGTGAGTAGCATAGCTGGTTTTAAACTCAGAACCTCTGACTTCAAATTCCGTGTTCTTTCTACTGCTGGTGATAGCATTTAAAAAAAGATAGGTACATACAAGTGAAAAAGAGAAAGCAGCTTGGACCAGATAGCCTTGGAGGTCCTCAGGACATTAGAGAGCCTATGGCATGTTTAAACTTGGGTTATTGACTGCCTGTCTCTTTCCAATTGAGTTGATCTCTCAAGCTTAGTAAGTGAATTTGTGTTTGTGGTACAAACTTCCAGGCTTTTAGCTAAAGCAGCTTAAAGCACTGTTTGGCTAAAGAAGCATAATTACAGCCTGGAGTGAGAGGAAGTAACAAACCTCATCCTGTGAAATGTTTCTGGATTGTACAAAGTTGATCCTTCAGTCAAGTCTACATAAAGTGGTAGGTCTGATTTTGGTGGCTTTAAAATGAAGGAAATAAGAGTTTCCTTATGTCCATGGGGTTTGTGCAATGGCTCTATGCTATGGGTGAGACACTGTTCTAATGAAATCCTTCACACACTGGTCTGCAAGAAGCCTACTCAGATGGGGCTCAGGGTGGACTGTCTTGTCCTGCACTCCATGTTCTGCAGGGAAATTCCAGAGGGCTTTGGAAATGAGTCTGTTACACATATTAATTGCTTATGCTTCTATAATGCATTAAGGTTTGCAAAGCACTTAATGGACTTTACATCCCTATGAGGTAGGTGCTATTAACCCCTTTTACAAATGATGAAACTGAGGTCAGAAAGATGTAGTAACTGTTTTGTTCAGTGTCCTATGCAGAGTTTCAGATGTGGGATCTGAACTGATGTCCTCCTGATGTTAAGCCCAGTTATTCCACATCATCTCTGTTCAGAGTTTTGATAATAAGTGTCTTTAAAATACCCAATTTGTTAAAGATGACATGGAATCCAACCCAAGGTTAAGAATGATCAACTCTTGTCCTTTCATCTCATCGTACTCTTGCTTTGCCCTTTGTGATGAATATAGTTTGCAGGCAATGAAACAAGGATATCAAATTTCATTAAGTACACACCTGTAAAAAGGAAAAACAAAATCAACTGGGATTGAGTCAAGTGAACTTTGCCACCTCCCAGGGACTGTGAGGAAGCGGCATCTATTGGGAAAACAAAGGAATGGAACTGGACAGAGCCTCTTTCCATGATGGGTCCCATTTGAAAGGCAGGTCAGTGCTATGGTGCAATGTACCAGATGGAAACTTAGTTCAGAACAAAGACATTTCCTATATCCTCATGTTACATGAACTATAGTGTAGCCTTGAAAATGATGTAGCCCACTCTTCATTCCTATCGATCTTGGTCCTTTCACTGGTTCCAAAGTTGGAGTTTTTATGGCAGTGAATATTACTACTGGTGATGTAACTGTGTGATCCACAATGGGCCCCTACTGGCTGGCTCTCACCTCTAGTGCTCACCAAACAATTTCTCCAAATAAAAGTGGAGGATAAGGAGAAGGATGTGAAGAGTCAGCCCTTTCTGTCTGGTGTTCTAATTGTGAGACCTGAAAAGAGAATGAGTGAGTGAGTGAATGAAAGAATCAGTGAATGATGTATAGTATGGGTACATCTATGCCCAGACAAACCTGACTGGATCAAGGTAAAGTCCAAATTGCTGTAAGCCTTTTCTTTGAAAGATTTTGGAGTTAAGAAGACAGTGCTTCATTTAAATCTGGAAATGCTGATTTATCTCAGGGCACCACACGTAAGGAACGACATCAATAAGTAGAAGAAAGTCCAGAAAGGGGTAACTAGTGTGTGAAGGGCCTCAAACTTGTGCCTTATGAGGAACAGTTGAAGGAGCTAGAACTATTTAACCTGGAGAAGAAAAAACTCAAAGGTGGGAATGATGGCTGACTTGAACTATCTGAAGGGTTGCCTTAGAAAAGAAGTATTAGACTTTTTCTACTTGGATCCAGAAGGCAAAAGGTGGAGGGGTGGATAGAAGATGAAAGGAAACAAATTTAGGCTCAACGCACAGAAATACTTCCTAAACAGTTCCCAGCACCTAAAGCTTTCCCAAAGTCTACTGGACTATCTCAAGTGTCAATAACTTTTACATTATAGAAAGTCTTCAAAAAAAGTTTGGATGACTATATAGCTTAAGTATATTATCCATGAAATTCTTGTCCAAGAATGAATGGAACTATTTGGCCTCTGAGATCCCGTCCACATATCATAGGAAATGATCACTGCCTATAATTTAGGGTAAAAGTCAGTAAAACTTTATTTCACCCATAGTTAAAAGCCATGGTATAGAGAAGCATTGATTGGGCAACGGAGAAGTTTCTGAACATAAGCCATTTCCCACTGGTATTTATAATATGCAGGAAATATATAGCCATGCTGAGTTCTCAAACCATGTGTCATTGCCCTTGGGGGCAATTGTAAGAAAAGGGATGGAGGCATCTTAATTGACTGGTATGTCATTGGTCTCAGATTCTGAGACAGGGTAGACTTCGTCTTCTGGTGGCCTTGCACAAGGCATGGGAAGAAAAGGAAAACAAAACCCTAGGATTTTGACCTGACTGTCCAGTGACATTCAAGTGGAGGCTTAATCTACAGTGGAGTTGCTCATGTTAAGGAAGGGAAACTATTGGACCCCTTTCTCTCTATCACCACAGATCCTGAAACTGTCATTTGGCCCCACAACATGGAATGAAGCTACATTTTTATTGCTTTTTATTGGAAAAAAATAACCAAATAAATGTATCTCTTTAAAATGTCAAACTTGACTCCTGTGAGATCAGAAAAATTGAACTAGGTCCCCATTATAGCTGCTCTAGAGGAAAGGCCTTGGTGGATATGCATTATTCTGTGTTCAGAAGGTACTGGAGGACTTTTAAATGTGATACCCGATCTTAGGTAAAAAGAAGGACATTGGTTTGGCTCCTTTTTCTCCTTGCCTTTTCATTTTTGTTGATGTTTTATAGCAATAGAATTCAATTTTATCTTCACTTTTCCTACAATATATATTTTTAAAATTTCCTTAAGATTGGGGCTCCACATTAGCTTCCAAAAGTACGGTTATATGATTACTCAAGACTTCAGAGCACCGTGATTCAGGCATCAGTGTGGTACGCCCTCTGCAGACACAGCACCTTCCCTCATACACACATTTATATGTCACAGTTGATAGTCTTCAGGAGATGCTGGGGACAACAAAAGTTCATCACAGTGTAGCCAGCTTTCTGGTGATGAAGCTCCCTACATTTAGTTTTGGCAGTCAGTCACTTAACAAGAACTTATTAAACACCTACTATGTGTTAGGCTCCGTCCTAAGCATTGGATGCAATTTGACTGCAAGAATTGCACAATCTCTGTCTTTAAGGAGTTTGCATTTCACTTGGGGGAGGATACAATCTATTCACTGATATATTCAAAACAAATGCACAGTGATTTGGTGAAGGGCATGATGAACTGAGTGAGTCAGAGCTTGTTGAAGGAGGTGGTGTACGAACTGAGTCTTGATGGGAACTAGGAATTCCAAAAGCACCAATGGAGAGAAGAGAGAGAAAGAGAAAACACAGGCATGGGTGACAGCAAAGGCACAGAGATGGAATGATGTTGTATATGAGGCCCACCAAGCAAACGAAGCTAGCTAGATTATTGAGTCCATGACGGGAAGAAAGGTGTAATCAGCTTGGAAAGGAAGGCTGAAACCAAAGTGTGAAGGGCTCTAGATGTTGAACAGAGGAGTTTTGTATTTCGTCTTCAATCCAGTAGGGAGCTGCTAGAATTTCTTGAGTGGGGTGTGGAGTCATGGGGGTGGTGGTGGTGACCTGGTAACTTGTTTTGACAGCTGTGCGGAAGGTGGATTGGAAAGGAGAGAAATGGCTCTTCATGGGGAGGCCATGCAATCCATCATTTGGCCCCAAGATTTAACAGGTAGAAAGCAGCTAAGCCATCTGATTGCCTTCAAGGAGAAATCAGACTATCTAAATTAGGACTAATAGATACTCCAGAAGAAAAGGACAAGAAAAGTTTTCTCAAGACCAAACTTGGAGAAATATTTGAGATGAATTTTCTGGAGCTAAAAAGAACCAATAATCTTGTCTGCAAACCAAAAAAAAGAACACAGAAGACTCTCTGTTAAGGATGTGGTCTGCAAGACCACAAGGCCCATTAGAGCTAAACTTCTGAGTCCCATGAGTAAAGAGAGGATTCTTTGGACCACATAAAAGGAAGAAGCACTGGCTTCAGTTATGACAACATGTAATTATGTACAAGCATTAAAGGCAGAGAGAGGAAATGGGCCAAAATAGGTATGCAATGGGAGAAATTGGTCTGGGTGACCATTCTTCCTTCAGATTTAAACCTCCTCATTGCCTCTTTGAGGACAGAGTTCAAGAACTCTGAAGAAGGCCTACCATTGGGGGTGGTGAGGTCTTGGTAGGAAGCTT